ATCGGGCCTTGCGAGCGCCCAGGCGTACACGCAGGCTTCACCGGCGGGCATACGTCATGGAAGTAATGGGGCCAGTCCACACCGCATGGTAACAAGAGCATCTTGCAGTCAGCAGGTGACAGATCGCCCAACGAGCTATCCGTTACTGTGCATTCCACCACCACCGCGCTCCGGAAGCCCAAACCATCAGGACGGCGACGCCGCCCGCCGCCACGCCTCGACCTCCTCAAGCCCCGCCCGGCCCGCCAGACACAACTCAATTAGCGCTCGTTCGGCGGCGGCCGCGGAACGGCGCCTTCGACTGGCGGCACGACGCGGCGTGAGCGGCACGGCCGGCGCGCACGCGAGCCGCCGGGTCCGCCGGCGGCCGCGGCTCCTCCCGCACGGCCGGCCGCCTCACGTGGGCGGATGGCAGCCGCCGCGGCACGCGACGCCGACGCAGTGGTCGCCGCGGGGACTGGTGGCGCACACGGTGACGACGCGTGGCCGGATGGAAGTGGACATGAATTCGTCAGCCGGTGGCTTTGGTATGCAGCTGATGCGGTCGAAAGTCTAAAACCGTCCGCGACCTGCGCGGACGATCAATAAACAGGCTGACAGGCAGCTAAACTTTCCGATCTGGCACCACTTTATGAGCCGATGTCAGGATTGCGAACGGTGCCCGGCGGCGCGGTGAAGTCCATGTATGTGGGGCACGCTACAAACGACGTCCGTTGGCCCACAGAGCCGCACAGTCGCCGCCCTGTCGGCCGCCCCCGGCATGGCGCCACCACGGCCCGGAGATCCGGCGAAGACAAATCGGGAACTCGAAGCCATCTGGCCCTAAATCGCATTTCAACAGGGATGATGCAGGCAACGTTCAGTTAAGACCAGAATTTGGTAGTGGAAACTCGTGAAACTCGGAAACTCTCCACTCTCGCAAAACTGGAGGTGACATAACCACCCAGGCATTTGAGCGGTTGCACCGACGCCCAGCGAATGTGGCACGAACGCCCAATTACAAAGCGCAGGTCAGCCGGTGAGCCACAGGCTCAGTAAACCTCTCACTCAGGGCGTCGGCGATCTAAGGAAAACACTGAGCAGCGATGGCGGGCACGGGCCGACAAAGAAGCGAGCGTATCTTCACAGTCCTCACGCCACAGAATCAGGCGCGACGGTGCCGGCGGCACTCAGCAGCAAGCAAAGGATGCAGCGCAGCAGCGCACCGGGTCAAGGTCCCTCTGATGGGACAGGTCTCCTCCCTCCCGCCCCCGCCTGCGGTGGGTCTTTTACGTCATACCGGATTGGCCAAGCGCACAGATCCTTCTGAAGCGCTCGTCTAACCAATCTGCTGCGATGTGTGTGTCTGTTATTGGGGCTTTACGACGCACTCAGCTGCTAAGGCTATATGGCGTCGCCTGCCTCTCACCCTGGCAGGAAGGGCGGGCACCGCGGGGAATCGAACCCCGTACCTCTGGTTTCCCAGACACGCAGTGGTTAACGAAGACGCGTTAACCACTACACTGGCACCCAATCTGCTGCGATCTTCTCGACATCTCGCAAGTACCGCTCAGTGCATCCCGGGAAAAGGCCTCAGGACCATCCCGAGGTCGCTGTTACACTTCAGAGTCGGTCTCGGGACGAGAGGTAATTTGTCCCACTTTCTCTCTGACCAAGCACTTTCAGAAACCCAGTCTTGTCGGAAAACTGACGGAAAACTGGTTTGTCATTGCCTCTCATCACGGTTTACACACCAACATATGCAGCGCTTCAGAGATGTCCAGATACGCCGACGACAGTGCTCATACAGGTGACCAGCCTGATCAAGAGTGATCTACACAGCTTAGTTACGGCAATGGTTGGCCAAAGCTTCCTCGCCATTTCCATGCCGCAGCTTGTTCCGCTTTTCTAGATAAAATTGCCCGAGCAACACCTCAGTTGTCAAAAAAGACACAAGACCACTCTCACCGACTCACGAGTTACTCTGCACCTACATCCGATTCAGTGCCAGGACGTCCGTGGATGTCTGGTATCAGGGCACCACCATTTCACTCCACCCCTTGTGTCTGTCTTAACTAGCATAGCGCCACTCGCCGCAACGCGGTCCAGCCAGCACGCACTACAAGGGTACCACTCTCTGCGTCCTGACCTCCCTACGGGTCCGCAGTCACGCCTCCCGCACATCCCCTCCCCGCTCCACCACTTCCCTGTTGTCCCCCTCGGTTCTCTCCGTCGCGACCGCACCTCTCTTGCGAAAGCCCTCTCAGACGCCTTGTGTTCTCACCGTCGATTCTCAGTTTGCCCATGCAGCCTTCACTATGTCCTCTCCATCCGCTGACCAGTCTCAGTCGACCCTCCCCAACCCTCGCGTGCTTTCAGCCGACTCTACCTTCCTTCCCCAACCGGCACCACCTCCCCTCCAGCACCCCCTTCCCCCCAGCACCACCGCGTCCCTGACCACTTCCCCAATGGGCCCCTCCGCCTCGCTCTCCGCGCCCCAGCGCTCGTCGCTCACCGGTGGCGGCTGCGGCGGTGGCGCTCCGCTGGCCGAAGCCCGCCGGCTCGGGCCCGGCTGGCCCAGCCCCCTGCCGGGCGGCGGCATCACCTCACTCCGAGCACCGGCAGCTCGCGCGCCCGGCCGCCGACGCCGACGCGCCGCCATCGACTGCCGCGCCGACGCCGCCGCCGCCGACGCCGACGGCGTATCGACGTCGGCCGCCGGCCAGGTACCCCTACCCTCCCCGTAAAACACCAGGTTAAACACAGCGGCGCCGGCGGCCGGCCGGACCGGCCGGACCGGCCACGTACATGGGCCGGCGGTCATGTAAATCGGCGCTCACTGGCCGATCGATGGCACGCGTCTCCATGGTGACGCTGTTATCCGGACCGGCGGCGGTGGCGGCGGCGGGGCCGCTCCCTCGGGGCCGAGGGTCGGGCCGCCGAACAGAGCCGGCCGCGCCGCGGGACCGCCGGCGCCGCCGCTCCGGCTCCGACCGGCGGTCGCCGTCAGATCCCCGGCGCCGGTCACGCTCGTGGCGAGCCACCCACGCCCACCAGCGAGCCAGCGCACCGACACGCTACAGAGTGCGGGACCGGCTTTTAGCCAATGATCGCATGTCGGATGATCAACCGATATGAGAAGCAGCGCGTTTCCAGACCACGGAAATATCACGTTTTTTATCTACTCGCGTGAGTCATTTGCTCTAATAGTGTTGGGACGCGGGCGTTCGCTAAGAATAGCTTGACGCATGAGTACCGACCCCAGCACCTAAGCTGTCCACAATATGGGACAACTCCCCAAACCTCTAACCAAATGGCACAGCACCATCGCTACATGCCATGCAACGTCACGGCACGGCCGCCCGTGGTACAGGAACCGCTCTGTCGCGGTGGCGTGACGTGGTGACGTGGACGTCCTTACAGGGGGGTTGACAGGTGGGGGTTACGCAAACGTCTTTGGCGAGGCTCAAACTCTCCACACCTGCCGCTCGACCCTCGGCAGACTCGGCGTGCTCTCCACTGCGCCTCGTGCTTTCACGGAACAAAGCGGCAAGCTCCTTCGGTTGGGCAAGCAGCGAAAAACACCACGCGGAGGCTTCTTTCTCGCTACGCATTTGGGGCGAACTTTAACGGGGCTAGGCCGCAGCAGAAAGTCGTAGGCTGGGCTCAAGAAAGACGAGCTCTTACACCCACGTCGCGAGAAACTTTTCCTATTCTGCGAGCCAAGAGCGGCTCAAGAACGGGGCTCCGCTGAGCTACATGAGCCGCGGCCTGTGGCAGCTATCCAACTGCGCGAGGGGTTCCCCACGAGCAGAGGCCCACATGGGTACGACTCAGTAGCGGAAGAACCCCCGTGTCATCGCGACTCCCCTCGTGATGGCCGGTGCCCGTACACCCGTCACGATGCTCGTGCCGTGTCATCTTCAGCAACGCCATTCACCGGATAAATCATAGCGTTCAAAGACCCAGGGCGCAGAGCCGGTGCGTCAAAAGGGGGCGCGCTGGGCTTAGGAGTACACCGCTCTGGTATGTGCGGACGTAACCCGCTATGGTATTGGGATGCGACGGGAAGCCACCAAAGCATGTGCCTAGAAACGCGAGTTCGTTTGACAAGCCTCGCATGCATTGGACACATCAGTCGCGACAGAGGAAACTCATTCGCCTTTCATGCCTTGTTTGAGCTCGCTACGAATCTAATGCTGTGCTGGCTATGTCAACGACTGATAGCTTCTGTAAAAGAACCCCGACAGAATGCAACCAGTACAACCACTTGGGCTCGATTCAACACAACTGCTCGCCTCGCGACTGTGCAAAAGGCTGCGTGTTAGGCTGACCCGCAGGGCACAGTGGTGTGGCGGCACAGTCTACCCACCAATTGGCAGGCGGCTACGGCAATACGGTACCGCTGCTGCCGCCAGACTCCTCGGGCGCAAAACTGAGCGACACTGAACGTCCAATTACTGCACAAAGGCAAGCTTCAGGTGTTAATCGGAAATCCTCATCTTACCTTTTTCAAGACAACAAGACTGAAATTTGTAATATTTTGTTGGAAGTGGATTCATGGCGAGAAAAAATGTAATTGCGTAAAGGCAGTGCGGGACGTAAGGGACTGTTCACACAATTCACCTTTTGGCGAAGGAAATGATGGGCTAATTTTACCGGGTGAACGCGGTAGCATCTTCTCACAGGATAAAGGATGGCGTTGTCATGTCAGGATCACCTGGAAAAAGACAGGATTGATACTTCGTTCTTCAACTCCACGGCAGTCCCCAAGTACCACCTCCTGCGGCGCTGACCTTGCTTTCCATCCATTGACAACAACGTTGAGGCCCCCAAAGACTGTTGTTCATGCGCGCCTAGCACATCGCGTGTTTGGGGTTCGAGTATGGAGCGTCGAGTTGCTTGTGGCGCTTGTGACAGAGCCGGCGCTCCTTCTCTCATCCGGCCACCACGCCCTGCGGCCGGCGCCGGGGGCGCTTATTCGGGGTGGGGACGGAGGGCGGCACAGGAGGCCCACTCACCTTCCCTTCGGCCTCGGCGGCCCGGTGCTCCGACTCCACCACCCGCTGTTCCAGCTCCACCAGCTGTAACAGAGCAGAGCGAGGCGTCACTGCCCTGCCGAGTCCGCGGGTCACGTCACGTCACAGCACGTCACAGAGCGGGGCGTAGCTGTCCTGTCCAGTCGTCCAGTGCCGGACGGTCAAAAGTCGAAAACGGTAGGGCTCCCACAGTCCTGCATTTATTGAGACTACTGATTACACGCACAGTCATAGGCCACCTTAAAAAATATGAAGGTGCTAGCGGGCGTCAGCCTCCAAAGGCACACCAAAAGATACCCCAGCCAGCGCCCCACCACAACACAGCGCCGGCCGTAGCCCGGCGGCTGCGCGGCCGCCGGGCCGGGCGGGCCGCGCCCGTGCCTCTGTGTCCCGGTCCGGGTCCGGTCCGGGAGGACGGGACCCGATGCCGGCGGCGCATACCAAGCGGCGGCCGGCCCCGTTAGCCCGGCGCGGCGCAAGACTTCAAACGACGCCGCCGCCGCCGCCCCCGGTCCGGCCGGCGGTGGCGGAGGCGGGTGGACCGGAGGAATCGGCCGCCCGTCCCGGACTGTTATTGACTGTTAATTCAGGACTGTTAATTCAGCGCCACCAGACGTGGCGCTGAATTACCCGGACAGAGCGGCGCCACCAGCTCGTTTGGAGGCCGCGGGAGAGGCCGCTATCTCAAGCGAGCGGAGCTCAGTTACTGAGAGAAACATGGATCTGCAATGGCAATTCAGCCCAAGCTACGGGACGTTCCCATCGCCCTCTGCGAGATGCTTGCCACCAACCTCAACCAATGCGTTGACAACGTTACCTTGACAACATACCGTCGGTTTCGATCCATTCGCACAACACACCCAACATCGTCAGACCATAAAAAGTGAATTGCGTCCATTCCTGCCGACCACCTCTGCCCTACTTCTTAATTTACGGACAATTTCGGGCCAATATGAGCATTGTTTCTGCGTCCACAAAACTGATTGGTGTAAGCGAGACTTGCGCTGGGGACCCAACGCGCGTAGTCGTTGGCTACAGTTTGTTCTACATGCATGCTGAGGCAACGGGGAGGCACTGATCATAGCTTTTACGAGACCCGATACAGAAAGCGGCACCGATGCAGTTTGCAAGATAGACAGAAGACTCAGAGCAGATGCTGCACACACACACACACGCACGCACGCACGCACGCACGCACAATGACACCACTATATATCGTCAATATTTAATTACAAACGCGGTATTTTTAATAACATGGCTCGCCCGCTATTCGCACGGAGGGAATTGCCTTGTCTTTTTCATCAGTTCAGTGTAGTGATTACATTACAGATCAGCCGTTTGGTTGGAAACCAATCACACACAGACAACACATCACTCAAAAACTATAATAACTTGCGCTACGCCATGACTGAAAGCCTTTATACATCGACCTTGGAGTTATCAAATATTAAGAAAGCTTGTTCGTGTGACTCAGTCTTTGGGACTATTTCGTTCGATTTCATCTAGACGTTAAATTACAGAATAGAATGGACGCATACAATGCGATGCAAATCACCTGCCAATGGGTAGCCAGATGATATGCATCTGAAATATAGATAACCATTATCCAGTTGTTATCAATACCTCACCGGTCATTAAAACATCTCCAAACGGCACACGGAAGACTCTTCTTTCAAACTCCGATTTCAAGGCAGCCTATCACGATTATCATCATTGCACACATTTGGAGTTTGTGTTCCTGAGCAATGCCGTGCAAGCTGTCTGTGCGCGACCATAACGCCACCACCATTCCAGAGGATTTTGTCACACGGCCTGTTTTGTGTTTGTCGCCAACGGCGCCTCAGACCTAGGATGGCCTGCGCCTCGGTTGCGTTGCAGGCTTCTATTGCGGCCGACGGAAATCAATGTGCGGACCCAGCGAACGCTGAGGCGCCCGTTCCCGCTTTTGTCCCGCTTTGGCGAAAAAGCATCGGCCCAGCCCGGAATGAGGCCACTGAGCGCAAACCAGATTAAGCCGCCACTAACCGGACAACCAACATCAAAGCAGCTCCGACAAGATCACAAAAAGAAATGTCGGAGAAAATGAAACTGATAACGGGAAAGGAAATAATCCCAGGGAAAACACGACGAAGAAATGGTACCACTAACATTTACGGGCAAATCCCCATTCGAACAGCCATAAGAGATAAACCATATGAAAAAAATACCAGGCGGGTCAACATGCTTAACGGGCAAACAACGGGGAACGACGGATCAGCGTCAGTCGGCAGGTATCGGGTGAAAAAGCTCGCGCACCTTAAACGTCGACTAATTGGACAAAGACCAGCAGCTGCACATCGGGGTTCCCATCGTCCGTGGCGCCGTCAGTGAACAGCGCAAGGTGGCTGGCAGCGGGTGCGACCGGACGGCGGGGGACACCAGGCGGCGGGCGGCGGGCGTGACACCGGACAGCGGGCGTGACCTTGGACAGCAGGCTGACACCGGACAGCGGGTGTGACCCCGGACAGCGGGCTGTGACACCGGACAGCGGGCTGACACCGGACAGCGGGTGTGACCCCGGACAGCGGGTGTGACGTCGGACAACGGGCGTGACCAGCCAGCGGTCGCCGACGGCCGACGGCCGGCCGGCCGGATAGGGCCCCGCCGGCTGAGTCAGCCAGCCGGTCAGACGGCGCCGGCCGGGCGGCCGCCGCGGCCCGGCGCCCGCCACGTCAGACAGAGACGGCGCCGCGGCCCAGCCGGTACACGGCCCGGGGCGCGCCGCTTGGTCACGGTCAGGCCCCGCCGGTCTGGTGACCAGTCCCGGCCGCCGCAGCCCAGCCGGGGCCGTCACGGTGGTGACCGCAGGCTGGAGATGGACGCGGCCGTCGGGGACAGCCCAGACAACCCCGCGGGACACGACACGGGAGAAACGCTCTCCAGGCTATTGGCATTGCACGTATCCGCATACGCCAGAGTTTCCAACGGCAGCGGTCAAACTTCAGAATGTCACCCCGAAGTGGACGAGTCGGTTACGGCGGTTTCGTTGCAAGCAGGGGAAGTGGAGGATAAGGCCACCTTGATAAAAATAATGCGACAAGAACCTCGCGCAGCCCAATCCATAAAGACGTGCTGGGATCTCGTAAGCACGAGCCCAGTTGGAGCGACTGAAGCGATGGGGCTGGACCCAACACAAACGTTTCCAGCTTTGTTCCTCGATTGAAGGGGACATTATGCCAGGCTAGGGCACCGGGAGGGACACGGAGGGCCAGTGGCCACTTCAATTTTGGGTAGAAGCTAGCATTTGTACTTCGAACTGCAAACACAAATTGGGTACTAGGTCTATATGGCGTTGCGCGGTATCGCACTTGTTTCAGGAGCGTTTTAGACAACCCTCCATGCACCCTGTGCCCTGACTTCAATTGAAAGGACGGCATTTTCATTTCGAGAAATGCATGACGGCAATGTTGCCCAGCACCTTTCCCACTTGCTCACAACGATGCAAAGCCATGAGCCGACCAAGTAAAGCCTAATGTAGTGTGTAGATACTACCTGTTGCGCTACCAGACCCTGGTTTCTCACAGAGCCCCGTTCAAGTGACAATGCTGAAAAAATTATTGCAACGCAAAGAGCACGTGACCAGCCACCTAAAATCATTTGAAAGAGGAAAAAACATCGCAATTTTCCGCGCAAATAATTCGATCGCCGTGCACCTGTACAAGGCAGCAACAAAAACAACAAGCATACATCAACAACATCCCAAAATACATCAGCATTAATCCACCATGTGACATGGGCGTAAACAATACTACTGCAACTGGCATTGCTGTAAGAATAGTACCTCGCAATCAGCGGCGCACATAACGGACTCAACCTAGGGTGAGGGCGACCGTCGGCACGTTCCACGGCTGGCAAGATGTTGCATAGGCCACAGGGGAGATCAGGCGGGAATGTCACCTTGCGCCCCACCCGGCAATTTTTCAATGCGTCACTTGACACATATCGAGTGGACACACGAAACAAAAAGTTCTTATGCTTAAGCAGAGGTGTAATACGAATACCACTAAAAGGCCTCCAGTGATAGCCGGGGTGGATCCAATGGATGGAGAGGGAGGGGGTGCAACAGAACCATGGCTCCTCCCAGAACGGAAACACCTAAATTCGCATTCATCCTGCTTACGCAACACAAAATCAGACCCAAAGTTTGAGCTTGGCGGTCCAAACAGGCTCTGACTCCTCCCAACGACCGAACCGCCCCTGGCTGTGGGCCTCAAAGCCCTTGCCCTGTCGTCATGACTGCAGAAGGTTTGGACCAATCGCATTTGATTAAAAGGCTGTTCACGACAGAGCTCATTCCAATTTCTGAAAAGGCCTCGTCAAAAATGGACGGAAAATAAATATTTCATCTTCAAACTGCAATGTCGCATTTCGAATTTTGTTTGGTCAGAATTAGCACTCTCTGAGCCGATACCTTCCATTTCAGGGCTGTGGAATGAAGGGGATGGATAATTGTAGGGCATAACTACAAGCACCTGGGGGTCTATCTGCCGAGACTTCACCCGCACAGGGATACTTATACGGAGAACGTACTCGGAGCTCGGACGGGGCTTCACCCGGGGGCACTTACGCCCACTCACGGCTGGTGCAGTACAGCTTGTGCCGCACAAACGGGGCGTCGCGAGAATGCAGGATAACGCGAAAATAAGGAAAGGAACGCTGATTTCGATTTAGCCCCGGGCAGAGGATACGCTAGAGCATGGTCTGACGTCACAGCAAGGCTCCCCGCCCATCGGCCGCACGCCTGGGGAGCTGGCTGACATGGCCCGAGGCCGCACCAGTCCCGGCAGTGGGCGCAGCTTAGGTCCCACTCAGCAACTAGACTCTATCCATGCCAGGGCAGAAGATCGCATAGCGGTATTTGGCGAGAATCCTTGCTTTCTTTTTGGTTTTGATCGAAATGTTTTCAAAAAAACTGGGGGGCGCTCTACTGTGGGTAATTCATTAAAGCAATGGTATGGTTTCATTTATAAACAGTAAAATAGGTCTGAATAAACCTTCTTAATCAT